ACTTCAGTCCTTGTACGTCCTCTCAACTGGATGCTGTGCAATTTACAGATGGCTCAACTTTATGCTATGATGTGCCTTTCTTTGAATTATTGTATTGAAACAATACTAGTTGTTAGCTAGTTCTTACCTATTGGTCCTAATCTGCCTGGTTCTGATTCTGTGGTTATAAACCACACAGTGCCTGGGACTTTCCCCTTTACATTACTAATCACACTTAAATTACTACACTCAATGTTTGTCTTTCCACCTGGGTTATATGCTCAAGAGGGCAAAACACCTCTTGTCACCTAGTCTGTCCTCAGTGATAAGCAGAATTTGACACATGGCAGGCATCCATCAAGTGGTAATTGCCCTTCTTCGAAGGACCTGGGTTCCAGACCCCTTGCTATACTGGTTAGTTTTTTTAGGACTTGGTCCAGGGCAGTGGAATTTTGAAAATGTGATTTCGACACTTCAGCATGTGACACTAGCTAGCAGAGGAATGGGAACTCAGGCTTACTCTATCAGGCACTTTGTATCTGATACTATAGGTATTTTTCAAGCCACAAAATAGCCTTCATGTAGGAATGATTGTGCCATTTTATCAGATGGAGAAGTGAGGGTTTCTGGAAGTTAAGTCATTTGTCTAACCAAAGTCACACTGCTTGTAAGCAGAGGGACTGGGATTCAAACTTCAATTGTTCTGACTCCCCAAAGTCATGCTCTTGCTACTTTAGCAGGCCTCTCTGTTCCATCAAATTATATTTAACCATCAAGTCAGGGACTGTCTTGGCAAATATCTCAGGCTTGAATGAGCTGAGATTGTCCAGGCATGAAGGGTCAGAATCAGTGATTGGATCCATTGAGAGCAAAGCTTCAGGCCTCTGCAGAAAGCCGCACATCTAGTCTCACAAAGGAAAAATGTTTGGGGCCAGGACAGCTGAAAGGATGTTTATCAGAAGAAAAGCTGGAGGAGATTAAATCCTGTGCACCCACAAGGCCTAGGATCCTGGACTGTTGTTTATGTCCAGAGCAACAAAAAGCCAAACAAAACTTTTTTTCCCTTTCTATCGGTAATAGCTTTGGAGATTTATCTTAAGACAAAGAGAAAAGGTTGTTGATCTGGAGTAGGCATCCTTCCTCCATCCTCCAAATGAAAAACTTAAGCCAAAAATGGGGACAGATGAAGGCCAAGTTTCTCAGCTTTTTAATCTCAGTCCAGTTCCCATCTTAGGGGCTTTGGGGGTTCTCAATAACTAGTGGAATATTTGAGTTGGGGTTGATTGTTTTCATTCTGTCTTGTTATGAAGTATCCTATAAAACATCTGGGAAAGAGAATAAGGCCTGAATTATCCTTATAGTCCAGTCATCTTTGAACAAGGGCCCAAAAACTCCACTAGAAAAAAAGTCAAAATAATGTTTTGCAGAACATTAATGTCAATAATGTTGGCAAAATAGTGTTTCTGCTGTTTCCAGTCTTACTTTTTTCTTTCAAATTTGTATAATTAAGACAAGCACATTAAAAGCCAGGCTGGAGTGGTGCATGCCTGAAATTCCAGCAACCCAGGAGGCTGAGGCAGGAGGATCTCAAGTTCAAAGCCAGCAGTCAGCAATTTAGTGAGGCCCTAAGCAACTTAAGGAGACCCTGTCTCAAAATAAAAAATAAAAAGGACTGGAAATGTGGATCATCAGTAAAGTATCCGGGCCCTGATTCAATTCCCAGCACACACACAAAAAATAAAAATAAAAAATTGGAGAAAAATTTTGCAGAAGCAAATTTATAAACAGATGAACTTTACCCTGGTCCCAACTTTCTTACCCCAATAATTTGCATTTGTGTGTATTTCCTTCTCATATTTTTTTTTCCTGCTTGTAACCAAGTTGCATTCACACAATTTATATAATGCTTATTTAAATCTACATATTTTCTATTAATATTATGTCATAAACATATTTTTAAAATCATAATTTCTATCATTGTTGGGAGCTATATAATATAGCTTAATTGTTCCTTGACTACAGCACATAGCAACATTTTCATTAATGCATTAGATGGCTACTATTAATGTAATGAGATTGCTAGTAAATTAATTATTGTTTAAATTTAGTTATACTTCTCAAAAACCAGATATATGATAAAAGAGGCTCTATTTGATAGGGAAATATAAATTACATAGAATGCTAATTAAGAAAGAATTAAATTCTAGATTCTTACAATTAGCAGGGAATGTCAAAATCATTTAACACGAAATTCCAATTGATGACAGCCTCCTTTATGTTTCTGGTGAACAAGTAGGAAGCTCTGTCCTAACAGAAGCAGTCAGTCTATCTTGAACAACTCAGATGTCTCTCCATTTGTAACATCCTCATTGGAACAAGAGAAAAAAATATATATGTTTTTTCTTATAAGAGCTAATCGCTGCTCTCCAGTTCCAATTAAAGGTACAATTTCCAAATCATTCTATAACTTGACCCTGCCAGATCCCAAACACCCTCCTAGCACTTCAGTTAGAATAGAGAACTCCACATGCATGCATTGGCCTTCGGGAAGTTCTTATTCCAATGTAGACATGATTTGGAAAGTAAAGGACATACAATGGCCACTAACCCAGACCTGAGGGATAAAGAAGGCAGCTCCAAGGAAGTACCACTGAGCCGAGATGAGAAGGTTGAGTTGGCCAGTCAAAATGTGGACTGTTTTAGGCAGAGAAAGGAGTGTTTGCAGAGCCAGCTAATCAAAGCCAGCAGTGTGGCTCCTGCTCGTGTAAATGACATTGAAGTTCTTTTTTATCTTTTATATTTTTATTGAGGCACAATATTTGTACGTCTTTAAGGGCCACCAAAACAGAGAAGAAGAATTAATTCTGGTTTTCTATAGGATAACTATTAATTAACAACCCGTGTGACATGTTTCAAAGAAGAAAACAACATTTCCACCATACCCCCACACACAATGATTCATATTTGACAATAAAGCTCTTTGTTGGTGATTTTCCTACTAGTTAAACGTGTGCAGAATGTCCTGGGACTGAGGAACCATAAACATGACACAGATTATCTAGAGCCCTTCACCCTAGACCGTGTGCTGAGGGGCACTGGTTTCTTGGGTAATGAAGGCATGTACTGGAGAAAATGACTTCTATGCTCAAATATATCTCAGGAACACAATGTTAAGATAAACAGTTGTCTTCTGTGGGACTTTTTGGAGTGTTCTAAGGCACATCAACATTGTCACTCTCTAAGGGGCATCGTTACATATAAGGTTTTCAAACATTTTGCCACAAAATCTATGGTACTGTTTCCCTGGAATCTTCTTGAAGAAATTCAGATATAGACCAATCATAGGTTTTTACAGATGAGGAAACTAAAATTTAGAAATGGAAAATAACTTCCCCAGAATTGTACAGGAAAGAGAAGAGAATCCTAGTTTTCCTGACTCTCAGATCATTGCATGCTCTGGCAGAATAGAAAGTCTTACAGTCACCAGAAGCTATTATTTGGTATACTAGAAACCTACAGTGTGCCAGTTGCATTATATTATGCAATTCCTGCCACTTGCCTGAGAAATTCTGGCTTGTTGGCTAAGAATTTAATTAGAAGTTTCCACCTAGACTCACATCTGTGGGAGGTCTTCCTGAGGACCTACCCAGCCAGAAGCAAAGGATGGAGTCCCCTCAGCCACCAGAATAGAGTGGCTATTGGGTAGCAGTGGTCAGCCTGAAATACCCCCACTTGCCGTGCCTTTTCCCTCTGGCTGCACTGCAGAGAAGATAATGGAAACTTACCAAAACTGGGAGCTCAGTTTTGGCAGCCAGCAGTCATCATATTTGACTTGAGTAGCAAACAGTTTCAAGATGATTTGTCTAAAGAGAAGCAGCTATGGATTTGGCTTTGATTGCTCTTAATTCTCTTAATGAGAAAATCTATAAAAAGCACCAGGAGGAAGAGAGATTTTTATTGTCTTTCTCTTTTTAATGACAACAGGGGACATAATGAAGAGAGAAGGGGGCTTTCTTGTGGGTGATGGAGACTATTTCCCATAAGAAGAGGCTGGCTGGGTCCCAGCTCTCCAGGAAGGAGCGTGTGAGAAAATGAGGCAGAGGGGAACAATAAAACTTCCAGGGAAGGGCATGTGTCAGAGGGAACCCAAGAGCAGCTGAGGGAACACAGCAATCCTGATGAAATCAAGATTTGTGTGGGACCTCAGGACAAGTGAAAGAGGAGACTGCCTTGGTGAAGGAATCTCCCTGCAAAACATGGGAAGCTTATAGGCACCATAAATTTACACTGTGGCTTATTCTTGACCTAATCATCACTCTGTGAGAGGTGGCAGTAGTTCCAATGAGGAAAGGACCACAAGGCAAGCATGAGATGTGTATCTCCATTTGTCTGACTGTCAGCAGCTGGAACAGCCAAGCTCCCTCTGCCTCTGGGCCTAACTTAGCGGGCACAGTTGTTTGCTTCTCTGCTGCCTGTGGATTCTCACCTCCCTAGCTATCCTTGGGTTCCATCCCAACAAGGCCCTATCCATAAATCAGCTCCCATAGGCCCAGGAAAGAACTTTCAGTTTCCAGGGCTGGTTTAGATCTTGCTGAACTTGTCCCAGGCCCAGCCTTCAGGGACACTTTCAAGAAATTAAACTATCAACAATGGATTCATGTAAAACATTAGGAATGAAAGGCACCTCTGGAATAAGTACTCTGACCAATTAACTGATGAGGAAACTGAAGCACAGCAGGGAGAGTGACTTGGTCGGGTTCACATGGTTGACAAGATTCAGAGTCAGGGGTTCTAAATCACATTCTAGCATTCTTTCCTAGACTCAAAACAGAGCAGGACCAGGCATGGAGATGGAGAGCTGAGCTTCTCATCTGCACAAATACACGTACTGACACATTCAACTAGAGCTAGGAGAGAAGAACACGTCCCAGAGCTGACCTGTGTTTCAGATAATTAGACCCACCCAGGAGACATCTTCAGAGCAGGATGACATAGAAAATTAGGTGGTTATTAATTCTTACCTGTTGGATAGGTTGCTGGCTTTCCATAAGCAATTTTCCTCAAATGGTCCCTATATGATATGATTTTCCCAGGCAAGAACATTTAGAACTTCTCCATTATACAGCATATTAAGGCCCTGGATCAGCCTAGATTCTGTCAAGAAAATGAAGCCCCCAGTAAGTATTTTAAAAAGGAATTTACATAAATGTGGGAAAAGTGGAGAGAATAAAGGTCTGTCTAGAAGGCTACCATCCAAGGCACAAAGAAACACTAAATTGCTGATGAACTGTAGCATGGAGTTCTCTGACCACTGCAACTATGAAGGTATGGAGAAAAGTTCTGGAAGCCTGCTGTGTCCGATAATCACAATCTCCTGAGAAGAATAATCGCATCATTTCTACCTTCCCCAATTTCATGCATCTTCTCATTGGCAAATTAACCCAAAACTCTTTATTTCTAGCCTATCCTTTGAAGAGCTTGATAGTGATGCTGCTAAGATGACAATAACCAACCTGACACATCCTAATTCTGCAGCCTGATTTATAAAGGCACTTACAGTTCAATAACTCAAGTCTGATGGTAAGAAGCACAGTGCTTTGTGCCAGCAGTTTCATGTGCAGCTGAGATTATCACAAGTCATCATTGTAGGCCAGATCCACAGTCTAAAGGTGGATCATCAAATGGAGCAAAATGAAATAAAAGGGAGCCAAGGTGGGAAACCCATTGGCTAGGACCGCAGGTTGCTGATTCAGAATAAGTGGAAGAAATGTGGAGCCAGAGGGCTGAGCTAGATTCCCTGGATAGAAGTTTAGGTGTTGGCAGGATTTCTGTAGATTACCTCAGAATCTTCTGGAAGAGCTTTTAAAAATACCAGTGTCCATGCCCCAAGCACATGCTGAGTCTTGATAAAGTAGAGGAAAATGCTATTTGCAGAGAATACCATGGTTGGGGGGTATAGATAAGGCTGAGTAGGAGGCCTGCAGAAAATGAAGAATATTGAGGTAAATTTGAATAAGATGATAGAGGAAATGGACCAAAGATTAGGTTAATAGTCATGAATTTATAGAATACCAATGTTATGGTTATTTTATTTTTTCCCAATATTTTTTTTACTTGACCAGGTACAAGATGAGTAAGTAGAATGTAAATTAGATCTAAGGTTGAGGTTTTGCCAGGGAGATATAACAGAAGGCTAGAAGGATAAGGAAAAGAAAGGTGCATCTGAGAAAGTAATTGCAATGATCAACCATGGAGTCTTTGATACACAGAGATATATGTGAGACCAGAAGTGATTGGAAGCCTGAGAGGGTGTGATAGGACCAAGGGAGTGAGGAACCTATGCAGGTATACTGAGGGGGAGAGAATGGGACATCTGTGGGATGGGATTGGGAGTTGTGGTAGAATCAAGAAACAGGAAATAAATTTTTCTGATGGAACAGTTAGTTCTGGGCAATGAGATGTGTCTCTGAATTGGAGTAGAGGACATGGTCAAAGAGGTTAAGGGGGTTCAAATCTTAGGAAGCTAGGTTGTGATATGTAGCCTTATGTAGATATTGTTCTAAGATAGAGGAATAGAAAGATCGTGATCAAATCCCTAAGTCCTCAGTAATGAAAAGGAAGAGCCTGGAAGTCAGAAGGTGACAACTCTAGGTAGAGGTCATGGGCCTCAGTGTGGGTGCTCTGAGACCATTTGGCCTCAGCCAACATTGAGCTAATGTGTATTGTGGGGCTTCCTAACTCAGAAGTCAACACTGCTGAACATGCTTGGTACAAAGTCAATTACATTTGTAAAAATGCTTGTTATGGGCCACACTTTGTGTCAGAGACTTAGAAGATACAAAGATGAACCAGTCATAGACTACAGAACATGTTCTTATTCCTAAAACATATTCTCTTTGATAACCCTTTCTGTGTGTTCAATGCTTATTTTTGCTAAAAGTTACCATGTTATGTACTATCTTTAAGCATAATTTTGGCAGAAATAGAGAGAAGGAATGATACTGTGTTATTCACCAGACTCTGATCTGTGAGAGCAGTTTCATACTTTTACTGTCTTAAGGAAAGATAACAAAAAATCAGAAGCAAGGGCCTTCAGGAGAACACAATTTTTCACATTTCATCACATCACTGATCCCCCAGGATGTGAAATTTAGGTTAAAAAAAAAAGATGTCAAATGGAGTTATTCCTTTCTTAATTTTAACTGAAGACAACATATGCAATATTCTGAAGTGAGGTGAGAGGCCATTAAGAAAAATATGCAAAATCCTATCTGTGTAACTCTAAACTCTTACTCATAACAAAAAAGTTGGAGAGTAGCAATGGATGAAGAAGAGTCTATGTGTTTTCAGCCTCAACTCCCTAAGGGGGACAGTCAGAAGTTACCTCTACCTTTACCTCAAGTCAAATTAACTTCAAGGAGACCACTAATGATCCTTAGTTTTTATCCTCTGAGGTGGAGGACTTAGTGGCCTACACCTAATAAATCTATAGGTCCACAAAATATGATGAGATGGCTGCTTATGTAGAGGAGCACAGATTGAAGAGGTAAGAAAATTAGGCCATATGTGGGTCTATGTGAGAGAAAGCCTGCAGGGGATCATGTGCTCTTACCCAAGAGAATCTGGTGGGATGAAAAGGTCTCAGCAGAAACAAACTGAGGGCACTACCAAATATAGTAGCTGGAAAAGGAGCAGACAACTAGCTGGAGGGGAGCAGCAGCATCCAGAGTCCTGTAAGACAGAAGTCCTCCAGCCATGAGTGAAAGGGTGGGCTTCTCTAAAGAAGGTAACTAAGCACCCTCACCGGACAGAAACACTCATGAAAGGACCACATGCTTCTCTTCCCTCTTCCTGACCATGGTGCTTCAACTTGAGATATACAAAGCAAGAGGAAAAAGCACCACATGGAGAAGACAGCCTGGCTGGCCCTGTCCTTTTTTGCCACAGCAGCCTTCCCACTACATGAGGTGGGAGAGCGAGAAAAGTTGTAACTGTAAATCTAGTTTTAAGATTTCTCTCTTATGTGGGAGAAACCATTTAAGTTATAAATTAAGTACATTTTTTGAGACAGTGACTATTAAAACATTTTTTATTACCTAAAATAAGTCTAGAACATTCTGGAATTTTGGAGGGAACAGCCTGAAGTATTCATTCATGCATGCTGGATTAACTGATCCCCCTCCAAATAAGTTTAAAGAAGCTTAGTAAGTAAAAATGAAGTTGATTTCTAAAGGTTGCAAAGGGGCATTTTGAGGGGAGACTAGTATGTGTATTATCTTGGTTGTAAAGATGGTTTCATGAGTATATAGGTATGTCAAAGGTGTAATTGTATACTTCAAACTTGTGAAGCTTATTATATGTCTTTCTACTATATTCCTTAAGATATAGTTCAAAAACATTTCTTTCTGAACATACTACATGAATTTAGCTTGTTCATTACGGCACATGTAGAATTCTTTTTCCTCCATCTTCTTTTTGCCTTTATCATTCTATCCTGAGTGGGTTCCTATATTTCAACTAAGCATTGGTAAGAATAATAACCCAAACACATTTAATACTTGTGTAATACATTTTAAGTATTATTTAATGCTGTTCAGAGCAGTGTATAAAAAATTTGCATGGTAAAGATTTGGAAAATCTAATTTCCCTTCATATGTCACTTCACTGTGAACTGCACTGTCCCAGAATTTTATCTTGATTGTAGTGTAGAATTTCTGTATGCACACAAGAACAGGACATACACTCAAACCAGAACATGAAACTCCTGCTTCTCTCATACCCAGGCAAAGACCCACCTCACAGGTCTACTTTCCTCCATTCCTCCTTAGCATCTAATCCCCTGCCAAGTCTGAAGCTCCAGACAAAACCCAGCACATTTGGCTGGGGCTCTGACAACTCAATTATTTCTTTCTAGTTATTTTACCCATGCAACTAGTTAGGATCATCTGTTACATGCATGCATATCACTTTCCCAAGATGTCCCCACAATGCCAGGGTGACTGGGCCTAAAGGTAATATCAGGTTAATTGTGGGGATGTTATCTGCTCTTCCCGAGTATTCCGATAATTCTCAATTCCCTGAATTGCTATGTGTCAGAATGAGAAGTTTGGAAATAAAGCATCCTCTATGGCTACTGTCTGGCACTTCCCCAAGAGGAGGGAAAGAGGATTACAGGCTCTGCTTACCTGCCCTGGCTGCATGAGTCAGAGGCAGTTGATTCTCACAACCAGAATTGCTCACAAGCTTCCTGGTAGCATCCCTTTCTGGCTTCCAAGTCCACAGAACATTTCTCCCTTCTCTATGTTCAACACCTGCTCTATTTTCTACTGCAGAATAATGGACAATTGAAATTCTCACAAATTTTCCTTTGTTCCTAGTCAATGACTTGAAAAAACAAAATAATATGAAGTGATTACATTTTCTTCATGGCTTAATAGGTGTATTGTGTCCATTTCATTACAAACATATATAAATGTGCTACTCTTTCTAGATAGAAGTTCTTTGGTAACAGGAATTTATACTATGTCTTATTCATGTCTATAATCCTAGTTCCTGATTTGGAATCTGGAACATAGCAGAAATTCCATCACCATTTGTTAAAAAAAAAAAATTAGGCAGATAAATGAATGGATGGATGAATAGTGGGTGGATGGATGGATGGTTTAATAGAAGATAAATCAATAATTTTTAAGTACCCAGGAGCCCAAATAAGGTCTCCCTCATGCCAAACCTCTGGAGCTAGAAATGAATAACAAACATTGGTTTACTTAGTAGAGCTTAGAAGATCTTCAGAGGAGTTAAATAAGTTGCCCATGTAGCCAGCTGGTTACACCTCCATCCCAGGTCTAATATCAGGTCCTATGCCTCAGAACTCAGATTGTTTCCAACACTGACTTACACTTACAAGAGTCTTATTTCTTGAAGTGATATTAGACTTTTCATGGAAATAAATGTTTATTGTATATAATAAGATTCCAATAGTAACATGAAAGAATGTAGAGAAAAAACATAAGAATAGTGAATTACTGAATAAATTTATGCTTTTGTATTTAGTGTGATTTTACTTTCTTTTCTCTCCTTTATTTCTTCTATATAAACCACCAACTTGCAACAATTAAGTTCTAGTTAAAGGAAGCTTGGAGCAAGATGTTTTGAATTAACAACCAAATTGTCAGGTTTCTTTGTAAAGCATTTTATTGGTGGTACATTTGGAGGGACTCCGTCCCAGGGAGGCCCATTTGCCATTCATTTCACTCTGCTGAACAGATGACTTGCCCACAAATTGTCCCTCCTCCTCCTTCTCTCCAGCATTCCAGCCAGGCTTCCTTGGGCCACCAGGACTGTGCAGAGTTCAGGGAATAGGAAGGACCTCATAGAACAGCTAGCATAACCCTCACCTGTTCAGGAGTCCCTCTTCATTCCCCCCAAGCGAGGTCACAAAGATTCT